CCCCCCCCCAGTATTAGGTGGTGCTGTTGCTGATTTGCTGATATTGCTATTTTGGGCCTACAAAGCTCAAATCAGCTCAGCTGCTCCTTCGTGTAAAAATGGTTGGTCACATGAGGGAGCGTGCGTAAGTGTGAGATGGGGCGCAGGAGCGGAAGCTGGGGGTCCCACTTCTGCTGGGTCTCTGGGGCACAGAGACGCAGGAGCACTGATCACATCACAAGACAAGGAGCAGGAGGAAGGGGCCAAGCAAGCGACAGCTGGAGAGGGAGACGGAGCGCGGGGCCGCGTGTGGGCAGGCTGGGAGACGGGTGGATGCATTTTACATTGGTTTATCTTTATGATAATTACCCCACATCTTGTTTTGATCCACATATACTGTACATTTGAGCCGCCATTGTTTTGGGGACACCCATGTGACTCTCGTGATAATGTAAATAGCCATTCCTAACTCCAACCGATAATACATGGAAGTGCTGTTTTTAAAGCAGACATAAGTGTAAAGGGTTTGGAGAATTCGTGTTGTGGGGTGTTGGGTTTCAGGTTTGGGTCGGACTAGTGTGCAAGCACACACACACACACACACACACACACACACACAGCTGGTGTGGCCTCAGGCCTCAGATAACGGCCCTCAGCTCCAGTCATGTGAGGGTGTGATGTTTCCGCACACGCCTCTTCCCTTGTCTCTCTGTTATTTCTCTTCTCCTCTGTCTCACACCTCGTCAGCTGTGTGTGTGTGTGTAGTGGGGGGGGGGGGGGGGCTGAAGGCGATTGAGAGACTGCACAGGAAGCCAGAAGCTGGCTGGTTGTACCCCATCGTCCTCTGGCCACCCCCACCGGCTCCAGGAGGAGGTCCAGATGCACAGACTGTGTAAAGCGGTTAGCTGTTAGCCAGCTGGAGCCGGAGGCTAATTACTGCCGTAATTACAATCTGCGGCCAGGTGGAGGTAGAGGCGCCGGACCCCAGGGGACGCACCCCTCTGCACCTGGCTGTCACCCTGGGACACCTGGAATGCGCCCAAGTGCTGCTGCAGCATGGCGCCAACGTCAGCAAGGAAAACAGCAACGGCTGGACAGGTGCGTGGGGGGCAAGGGGGTGCGTGAAATGAGACCAGGGAAAAAACAGCTGATGAGAGCCCCCCCTCCCCATCTCCCTCTTAGTGCTCCAGGAAGCGATATGCACCAGGGATCCAGAGCTGGTACGCCTCGTGCTACGTTACCGTGACCACCAGCGAGCTGTGAAGCGATTGGCTGGCATCCCTCTGCTGCTGGACAGGCTGCGCCAGGTGAGACTAAAGACAATAAGCATAGCTGAGAGGTCACACCCAAGGCAAGGCTTCCCATGCTCCATCCAGAGTGGCATTTCTCTGCTATTGCACAACATTACTGGAAGCACTCAGATTAGCTTCAGATTAGCCTTTCTACTAGCCAAGACAGGTCCATCTGACTCGGGACATTGTGCCCACACTGACACCTGGGCTGGGGAACGTAGTGGTACCCCTCAAAAACAACCCACCCCCACTGAATGCAAAAACCACATCAAGGAGATTCTTATCGCTGTGATCAGCAGGCATCGATCCCAGCTTGACCTCCCTTCTGCGCCTCCCTTCTGCGCCTCCCTTCTGAGCCTCCCTTCTGCTGCACGATTTTGCTGCACTGTGCTCGTCGTCACCCTTGCCAGCTTGTGCCAGTAACACCAGAAAGGGCTGTCAGGGCGGAAGTAAGTTCAGATTAACACCCGATCCAAAAAAGGCAGGCTTTGTTGCTGTATGAGGAAGATTCACAGGTCACTTCCCTGTGGGATCACACTGATTCAGCCGACCGGTGAGTGACATCAGGGAAACAGACAGCACTGGTCATTCACGTAGCTGCACACAGTAATCAGAATTTGACTAAAGCATTTGGATAAAACCTGGAAATCCGCAGGTGACATAGCTTATAGGTGCTAATCTTCTGAACCCGGTAGTCTTGCTAGACGAAGCTGATCCTCTTACAATCACTGACTCAGGGCTCTTCCTGCAGTCAAACCGTGTTCTGGGTTCCTGGGCCCCAATCACATGACCTCATTACCTCTCTGCCTCTGTCATCCTCTTACCACACCTCAGGGCTGCATAAAGACATGGCTGCGCCCCTGAGAAATGCTACCAAATGAGCCCCCGCTAGTGTCTGGGCCCATAAAACTCTTGCTGTTTCTCCCACATTATGGGGGCCCTGCCCCCGACACACATTACAGCAATGACACACATCATGGAAATTAAACACATCACGGTCAGGAGACACATCACAGTCAGGACAAACAACATGGTCAGGACACTTCATGTATGTCTAGCTGATGTAAGCCTTGTCCATTTTATTCACTCATGTTCCCACTGGCATTATTTACACTGTCTGCAGGAAGCCAATGAAGGACTAGAGTGTGGCATGTTCCCCTGCAGCAGAATGCTTTTCAGCCCTCTTGGGGCTTTTTGGGAGCTGGTTGCTGTTTACCCAGCACCTGTACTCCTTCACCCCTTATGACTGTGCTCCCACATCTCCCCTCAGCTCCTGTCCTCTAACCAGTGTGTTCTCATCTCCCATCCCCCGCTCCCTTCCTGCAGGCTCAGGATTTCTATGTGGAGATGAAATGGGAGTTCACCAGCTGGGGTATGTCTGCCCCCCTACCCCCCCTCCGCCACCCAGACTGACCGGTGCCCCTCCCTGATCGTGTTAGCGCCACTGGCTAGCTTCCCTTCCCAGAAGCACTGGAGAATTCCAGGGAATCAATAATTAATTATACACTGAATAATGACTTTTGATGAGAATTTTTCAGTGTTGGTGCCCCAACCTTCCTGCCCCCTTAGCCCTGCCCTTCCAGTCCCTTAACCCCGCCCTTCCTGCCCCCATTAGCCCCACCCTTCCAGCCCCTTAACCCCGCCCTTCCTGCCCCCCTTAGCCCCACCCTTCCAGCCCCTTAACCCCGCCCTTCCTGCCCCCCTTAGCCCCACCCTTCCAGCCCCTTAACCCCGCCCTTCCTGCCCCCCTTAGCCCCACCCTTCCAGCCCCTTAACCCCGCCCTTCCTGCCCCCCTTAGCCCCACCCTTCCAGCCCCTTAACCCCGCCCTTCCTGCCCCCCTTAGCCCCACCCTTCCAGCCCCTTAACCCCGCCCTTCCTGCCTTTTAGCCCTGCCCTTCTAGGCCCTTAGCCCCACCCTTCTTGCCCCTTAGCCCTGTCCCATGTGCTTCTGCCTCCCCTGCAGTGCCCCTGGTCTCCCGGATCTGTCCCAGTGACACCTACCGCGTGTGGAAAAGCGGCCAATGCCTGCGTGTGGACACCACACTCATGGGCTTTGATCACATGACCTGGCAGAGAGGAAACCGCAGCTTCATTTTCCGGGGTCAAGGTGAGGGCCATGATCAGCGGCAGAGGCTCAGCTCAAAGTGGCCTCTTCCTTTCCTCTCTCTTTACTACCAGTGATCATTTCTCCCCATCTCCCCCCTCACCACAGCAATACCACAGGATGACACCCCCACTTTCTTCTTCTTTAAAATTTGTATATTATTCTCACTTTCTCCTGAGAGACTAATTAAGAAAATTGCATATGATAATATCGTTCTCTTATCTGTTTCTCCACTTGATCCTCTCATCCTTGTCCCTGGCCAGACTCCAGTGCTGTGGTGATGGAGGTGGACCATGACAGGCAGCTGGTCTTCTGCGAGACACTCCGCATGTCCTCTGTGTCGTCGCCCCAGTCCTCGCCGCCCACCGGGTCCCAGCGTGGCAGTAACGACCTTGGCCTCCAGGGGGTGCCGGAGCCCACCGAGGAACAGGTGGCAGCTCGGCTCTCCGCACCCGTCGTCACGACACAGCTGGACACCAGGAACGTGTCCTTTGAGAGGTGAGAGGTGTGTGTGGACGCATTCAGCGGTCTTGTGAGGACATCCATTTCGAAAAAAATCAACACAACAAAAAATATTTCTTTCTCAGTTTTGTTTTGCTTGTTAGCTGTAATAAAATATAATGTTAGCTATACAGTACACATGTGGGGGGAGGAGGTAAAAAACCAATGTAGAGAGTTAAAGAGGCAGCAGAGAAGGATGAGAAAGAGATGGTAGATGGAGAGAGGAGAGGTTACATAATCACAGCTCTGTCAAAGGAACACAGTCCAGTATTGGGGGCTGCAACAGGGGTTTGAACCTGCGGATGGGTCCTCAGCCGGCCCAAGCTGTGACAAGGACGGCTTGCGGTGACGGGGATGGCGCGTTGTGACAGAACCCTCAGCCAGCTGCCAGTATTCAGGAGTTTGATGTCAGGGTATGAAATCACGGTCGCGAAGGATTGATGTCAACTGCAGCCTCACAGTGTATGGCTGAGGGAGGAGGAGTGGGAGGGGGGCCATGGGAGGTCGATGTGGAGGGAGGGGCTTAGAGTGACTGCAGAACACCACCCTGCTCTTTCAGGGCTCTGTCAGCACTTCAGCTGCCTTCTCCTGATGGTAACTTGCCAATCCTCAGTTCAGTGACCCAACCTGTCATCCATCTGCTCTGCCTCTCAGGAATAAGACGGGGATACTGGGCTGGCGCAGTGAGAAAACTGAAATTGTGAACGGCTATGAAACCAAGGTAGGCCACAGTGCGGCTGCACCCTGCACAGCATTATGTCTGTGTGATCATAGCACTAGCTGGGTGGACACTGGCAGAATCCTGACAAAACACAGACCAGCTGGGTGGAGATTGGCAGAATCCTGACAAAACACAGACCAGCTGGGTGGAGATTGGCAGAGCACTGACAAAACACAGACCACCTGGACGGACACTGGCAGAATCCTGACAAAACACAGACCAGCTGGGCGGAGATTGGCAGAGTACTGTCAAAACACAGACCAGCTGGGCGGACACTGGCAAAATACTGACAAAACACAGACCAGCTGGCTGGACACTGGCAAAATACTGACAAAATACAGAGCAAATACAAGCTGGGCAGACACTGGCAGAGTACTAACAAAACACAGACCAGCTGGGCGGACACTGGCAAAATACTGACAAAATATAGACCAGCTGAGGTGCACAAGCAGAATCCTGAAAAAAAATCATAGACCAGCTTCTCCAAAACTGGTGTGACTTCCATTTTTCCACAGTTCACACATTTCCAGCAAACACCAGGCCAGCCAGAAACAATCATCAGCCAGCCTCCTTTACAAAGGTCACTTGTTTCTCTGCTGCTCAGGTGTACGGGGCCTCCAATGTGGAGCTGATCACCCGAACCAGGACAGACCATCTTGCAGAGCCTCACAAAGCTAAACCCAGGAGTAGGTGTAACCATTTCCTTGGCGCACTGTAGCTCTTCTGTGTTCAGTAGCACCAAGTGTTTGGCATCTACTATGCCCCCTGTTGGTCACAGTACAGGGCCCATTGCTTGTTTAGCTTCTGTGTTATTGGCTTGTTCCTCCCTTAGGCAGCAAGACTCCCCTCCAGTCGTTCCTGGGCATCGCTGAGCAGCACGTAGGCTCCAACAACGGGGTGAGTGGGTGGGTGTCGCAGACGCCTCCCAGCTGCTCTGTCACCATGCCCCCCAGGGCCCAGCCACACCCACCCCCTCTCTACCTGTCCCACCCGCAGACCCTGGTGACTCAGATGTCCAGCCACCCCAGCAACCCCATGGCCCTCACAGCGGAGGAGTACTTCAACCCGGGACTGGCCCTTGGTCCCCGTGACATCAGCCCCCCCTGCCAGCTCACCACAAAGACGCAGAGGTCCTAACGCCCCGCCCCCCACCCCTGGCGCTGCTGCATGTGTCACACTGCATAAGCATTTCTCATTACTGACTCTGTGTGTGGGGTTCAAATCCTAACCTTGCTCTGTGTGTGGGGTTTGATCCCATAATGGATATTGTACATTTATATTATTTGTATAATATTTAAATATAACTGAATGATATTCAGGTCTATATACCATTATAACCTACTTAGACTTATCAGTGAAAGGAAGACATAAGGACTAATAATAATAATGTAAATATAATGAATCCAGGCCCCATTGTCACTCTGTATATAGTATGCGATACTAAATGGATGCCTAGCATGTGACTTTGTTACTTGGCCGCAGGTTCAAGGCCAAGCTGTGGCTGTGTGAGTCCCACCCACTGTCCCTGGCAGAGCAGGTCGCTCCCATCATCGACCTCATGGCTATCTCCAACGCCCTTTTCGCTAAGCTGAGGGAGTTCATCACGCTTCGCCTCCCGCCTGGCTTCCCCATCAAGATCGGTGAGTGCAGCCAGGGACTGTAGAGCAGGGGGTGTGGCCCTGGATGGAGGTGTGACTCAAGGAAGGGAGTTTGGCTTAGTATTGGGGGTGTGGCCTAGGATAGGTGCTGTGGGTGTGGCCCAGGGAGGTGGGGTCTCGGGTGAGAGGTGCTGTGGGTGTGGCCC